GGCGAGAGGTCTTTTTTGTACCCTAAAACACAACAAACGAAACCTATTCTCTCATAGTTTAGGAGACCAGAAGCCCAAATTCAGGGCACCAGCTCTGGGGGAAGGTTCTTGTCTTCTTTAAGTATCTATGAGCCCTGGGTTCTTTGAAGATCTCCACATTTCTTGGTTTCCTGGGTCTGAATCCTTCTCCGTGCGGGAACTCCAGGTCCACAGGACATGCACACTCCACTCTTTCTTTGGGGTAGGAGGATCCTCTTTCTCTTCTCACTTATCTAATCTCTTTTATGAGTATATTTCAAAAGCAATTGGCTTAAAATACAATGCAATCCTATAGATTATATCTGACTTCATTAACGTGACTGTAACTCATTCTGTCTCATTAACATCATAGAAGTTAGGATTTACAACACAGGGTAATTACATCAGATCACAAAATGGGGATACTTACCTAATACTGAGAATCATGGCCTCGCCTGGTTGACACAGAGTTTGGGGGGATGCAGCTCAATCCATAACATTCCACCCTTTCTTATTCACTGCCATCAAGTCACTGACTCGGAGTGACCCTGTAGGGCAGAGTGGAACTGACCCTTTGGGCTCTTCTTAGGCTGTAACTGCTTATGGAGCAGAGAGCCTCATCTTTCTTCTGTGGAGTTGCTGGGAGGTTTGAACTTCTGGCCTTGAAATGAACAGCCCAACTCGTGATCCACTGCTTCACCCCAACATTTAGATCCTTGTCATGTGTAAGGCACCTTAATGCCTAAAGTTTAAATCCCCTAGCCCAAATTCAGTCTGGACCCAAATTCCTTTTCGTCTGTGAATCTAGAATGCAAGTTATCTGCTTCCAAAGTACAAAAGTGGAACTCACACAAGGTAGACTTGTGTCTTGCAAATGGAAGACATTGGAGGGGAAATGGGACACTAAGGAGTACCGAGCAAGTTAAAAACACAGTATACAATTTGCATGAACTCTCAAGGCTTACACATACGCCTTTCTTCTCTGAGACCTTCCAGGTCCTCCAGGGCTCGAGGCCCTATTCTCTGGAGGCTGCATGGCTTTGGGGTTTAGCTCCACCTTCTAGGCCCACTAGACTGACACATTTGTTCCTTCAGGTTTGGGCAGCCCCATCTTCCTAGTCTGCGTTGTAACTCAGCAGACCCCAGTCTTCTGTCCCTTGAGCAGGGCCGCTCTTGCCAGCTCAGCTTTGGGCAGCTGACTGGGGCCCATCCCCCTTGCACCCAGGAACAGCACCCTGGGCTCCAGAACCGAGTTGGTGAGGATCTCACTCTTCAAAGCCTAGGAAGCTGTGGTCCTTCAAAACACCAGGGACCAGGGTGCCACCCTTTGAGACCCAGGCAGCTCTGTTTCCTCTGCTCCTTGCTTCTTCAGCTTCTGCTTCCTGGTTCCTTGGCCTCTCAGCCCCATGCCCCCACCCCCACCCCTACTTCTGGACCTCTTTGTCCTGCAGGTCCGACAAGGACCTGGAGATAACCCACTCCACCAGTAAGATCACACAACATCTAGAATGATGTCCTAGTTCTGCTGCTCCTTCTCACCGTGTGTGCCAGGTCTCAGGTCTCTTCATTTCCATCTGAGCCCAGAATCCCACCCCAGCTGCCCTTGACGTTGACCATTCTGTCAACAGTCTCTTCGAGGCATCTTCAAATTCTTCTAGCCTCTACCCAGTTCCAAAACTGCTTCCATATTTTAGGGATCTATTAGAGCAACACCCCCCTCTATTAGTGTGCAGTTCTGTCTCAGCTGTTTAGTGCTGCTACATCAGAAATGCCACAAGTGGATGGCTGTAACAAATGACTGTATGTGTTGTTGTTTTGTTTTCTTTTGTTGCTTTGTTTTGCTCTGTCTTGTTTTTGTGCATATTATTACCTCTGCAGGTCTGTCTAGATAAGAT